TTAAATTGTTGCTTGTAACTAGTAAACAACAATGTGTTGTGTTATTGTCTTATTTTATGGAAAATATCGTGTCCAATTTGAAAGTTTATGACTCCTGTTCTAAACGATAATACAATATAGACATTTTATAATATTGTTGTGCATTTAACCAGAGGAAGACTTTGTACAAAAATCGTTTGCTCAGGTACCTCTGTCCCATTCGTGTTTCTACCGTGAAGCAATTGTTTGCATGGCTGTGTTTCGATTTGAAGGGTGGAATATGGGAGTGAATTAATAGAGTATAGGTATTATATAGTACACCTGAGTCTTCAGGAATGGCAACGCATGGAGGGTATCATGGGCGAAACTAATCGAGCTTTCTTGATGTAATGGGACAGAGGTACTCAAGCAATCGACTGGCAGTAGATTTAAAAAAACAATAACTGTTTAAAAACACTTATTATTAAGTTTACTTGTATAGAAAATTATTTTATTTTACTACACAAAATGTTATAATTCGGAGAGATCACTTCACTATTTTCACGAAATATGTAGCATTGAAAATGTTTATAATTAATGAATGAACAAATTCAATGAACTGGTTACATAGATTTCATAGAAACGGCATTTTATTCGAAATGACTTGAGCAACAACTAAATAAATAACTAAATACTGCTCGTGGAAAAATACAAAAGCACACGAGTTAGAAACTCGCGTTCTCTCTTTTTAATTCATTGAAAGCTGTGAACTTTCGTTTCGACGCTCGAACCACCTCAACGTTGTAGACTGGGTAGGTATTTCGCCCACACTTATATTCTTCGCCAGTAATATTGGATCACGAACAAATGTGATTAAATTAAAAAACTTTTAAATTACGTACCTAGCTATTTTCGTGTAGCAAAAAACATGCTGTCTGCTTTAATAGTTTTCGGTTTCATTTTTTTATGAATTTTTAACAATTCATAGAAATATTCTTAACCTTTTTTTTTATACAACTTAGAATGGCAAACAAGCTGACGGCCCACCTGATGGAAAGTGGTAACCGTCGCCTATAGACATGACTTTTGATAAAATTCTTAAGGATAACATAAAAACGTGACTACACATAATAAAATTATGTTCCACAATTGTGCCAAAATCAGTTATTTTATTTTAAAAACCAAACAACTAAACCGATTTTAATGAAATGTCTATGGAACAATCTGTAAGTAATTTCTTTTAGATAAAAAAAGATTTTTTCCAAATCGGTTTTCAACTGACGGAATTATGAGGTATAAAAAAATACAACCGAATTGAGAACCTCTTTTTTTTTTAAGTCAGTTGAAATTTAATTTCGTTAAAAAGAAAATAAATTAACAAAAGAGAGTTTATTAAAATTTTCTGAAGAAGATCTATATTTTCTAGGTAATAATATAAATGCTATCTAGTTATATTAAAATATAAAAAGTATCTAGTTATATTTAATCTATACCTATTTAGGTAACCATATTATTGCATAGATTATTTTCCAATTTAGTATATTATATTTATAAGGATAGTGGCGACTCTTAAATAACGTAGTGTTCTTACTCTGTGGGCACAGATAATGTGCTAATGTGCTATCTGTAGCTATATTTGTAGGTTAAAAAAGAGAACACGTAAATTCAACAACGATTGAATTTTATTTTCGAACTAATGCCATGTACGGTGCGCTTTGCTCCCGGCCATTTCCCGATCCATGGGGAATTGTTCGGTGCAATAAAATAAAATGGTGTCTTTACCGCTTCATTTCTATAATATACTTACGTACTTACATTGGAGGATGTCGTAAGCAGTAATGTCCTATTCCGAAAAAATCGTCTTTGACAAAAGGAATAAAAATTGTGTGAAAAAAATAGATAAACTCTTTATTGAATATTTTATCTTGCAGAAGTCTTACCACAGGGAGACTTTGTACAAAAGTCGTTTGCTTGGGTACTTCTGTCACATTCGTGTTTCTACCGTGAAGCAATTGTGTTTGCATGGTTGTGTTTCGGTTTGAAGAGTGGGATATAGCAGTGAATTTACATATTACAGAGAAATAACACCCGAGTCCTCAGAAATGGCAACGCATGAAGAGTATCATGGGCGAAATAGTATACTCTATTATGTCCATGATACTGCTCATGTCTATAGGCGACGGTTCCTGCTTCCCATCAGGTGGGCCGTCAGCTTGTTTGCCATTCTATCACAGCCATGCAAACACAACTGGTTCACGGTTGAAACACGAATGGTACAGAGGGACCCAAGCAATCGACTTTTGCACAAAGTCTCCCTCTGGTTAAAATATTTCTCTAATATTAGTAACCTTTCCACTCACATGTCTAGAAAAAGGTTTTCTACAAATATATTTGAATATAAATGTAATGATAGATAGATAGATAGATATACTTTATTGTTTCCTCCAAATGATTACAATACAAACAAATTACAAGAAATGATCACAGTGAGAAAACAAATGGGTGGCCTTATCACTAAAAGCGATCTCTTCCAGACAACCCTCGGATGGAGAGAAGTAATTAATTATAAACAGTTTTTAATTAAATTAATTAATTTAATTAAATAATCTATCCTATAATTTAATTGGTCAAGTTTTAGATTATATAGACAGAATGTCTCCACACAAATGCCCAGAAAAAAAATTTATTATTAATAATTAAATAATGAATAATTTTTTTCCAACTACAGAAATTTTATGTCGGAGATGTCGGTAGGGGCCGCCCTAGACGGACGTATGTCGACCAAATAGGCGACGTGCTGAAGAAGGGCCAAATTAAAAGTACCCGTAACCGGCGAGCGTGTATGAAAAGATTGATGAATGTGGAGGAAGCGAAAGAGGTTTGTTTGAATCGAAGCATTTGGCGTCCCATTGTTTCTGCCTACCCTAATGGGAGACAGGCGTGACAGATATGTATGTATGTATGTAGAAATTTTATGAATAATAATAATTACCTACCATTTATAATTATAATTGGTAATTTATTTTAATTAATAATTTAATTCATATACTTAATTTATTATTATCTTACATAAAACAAACATAGAACAATACAACTACTAGCCTATAGATATAATTAGAGATAAGTAATTAAAAAATAAATATATTAATAATTAGATAATTGTACAATGTGCAGAATATAAACTATTATATTTATATAAAAACTAACTTTTGCACGCTACTTCATATGCGTGTATTTCAGATGTAGATAAGTCATTGGATAGGCTTACTTCTAGTTGATGTATCAAGATAAAACAGAAGCCAATGTTTATGTTAAACATTCAAAAACACAGCCGTGTTAGTTAGACTGTGTTAGTTACTTTAATTTATTTGTTTTCTCACTGTAATTCATGATATAATTCAAGAGTTATCCTACTGTTTGTTTGTTTATTTATTACTTATTATATTATTATATTTTAATTGCTTTCTATTTGTATACAATTTTTTGTTTTTTGTTTGTTTTGTTTTGATCTTTTGTTCTTGTTTTGTAAAAGCGCACAGTGTAGACCGCATTCTTCTTCAATTAAATTATTTTTTCTTTCTTTCTTTCTTTCTTAATAATTTCTTAATTATTTGTATCTATAATAAGTTTAGTATTGTAATTTTTTTTGGAGGAAATATAATAATAATAATAATAAACCGAGAAAAAGAGAAAATATCTCGACCTGGCTCACGAGGTGACCGAAATGTGGGGGGTGACGTCCACCGAAATCATTCCAATCGTTATGTCGGTGAACGGTCTTATCCCAACGATATACTTACAAATTGGCCCCATAGAAATTTTATGAAAAAAAGTTTAGTATTTTATTTTATTATACTATGTAATGAGGGTTGTGCGCTGTTGTCTGAGATACAGGTTTTATAACCTAGTTCAGACACAAATGTTTAAACTGATCCAAATGTACAAATGAATTCGTATTTACTTTTACTGTAATTTCCAGTGCTGAGTTTGTTACAATCACGGTTATGCAATAAAGTTATTGTTATTATTTTACATTTTTAAATCACAATAACTGGTTTTACCACAAATGAGTCGATTTTTTTTATTAAACAATCAAATATATTTTTTTTTTAAGTAAGATAAGATATTACTTGCAGTACCTACTTAAAAATTTTAAGTATTGTTTTGTGTTAAAAACTATTTTTTATCACTTAATGCTCCATTTAAGGACACCATCGTGCTGAATTCCAGGCTTATTCATCACGATGGGCTAACTAACTTGCCTTTTCATCATCACCTATCATCCCTCACTGGTGCCCCGCCGGAGTATACCGTTAGCGTTGGCGAGACTACCATTGTCATCCATTAAAAAGAAACCACTTTGTATAAATTTGAAGATTGTATAAAAATCCATTGCTTGGGTACCTCTGTCTCACTCGTGTTTCCGCTACCAAGCAACATTTCTTACATAGCTGTATTTCCATATGCAGAGTGGGATATAACAGTGAAATTACTACGTGGAAAAACATAATATGTTTCTCCTCGGGAATGTGAATGCATGAGGGGCATCTAGTAATTCACAACGGGAGGCACAGTGTATTCTGTGACGTCCATATTTACTCTTTGTATATATATATAGATAGAGAATAGTTACTATTTTCGATTAAGTAAATCATCAGCTTGATTGAAATGTCAAGTTTCGGTATAAAAAAAAAATCTTTCACAAAATATGGTACACTTATCTATTATTTTGTATTTAATAAACAATTAAAATTACAAGAATATGATTAAATGTATAACATTATTTTCATAATATAAAAAATAGATTTTTTTCAATCAAGTGCGATTAAAAAAATTTCTAAGCAGATAGAGTTTGTACTCTCACCTCTTACCGCCGAACCGAAGCCGGTGTTAAGTTACCGACGCCTTTATAACATATTTTTAATATATAATTCTTATCTTCTATTATAATATGGCAAACTATTAGAGTATACTAGATTCTTTTTAAAAAAAAAAAAAAAAAAAACAAATTAATAATTATGATTATTAAAATGCCAACTTACCGAACTATGTTCCTATCATCAATTGTACTAATAATCAATACAGAACATCACACAAAAATAATCCTGCAGCAAACAATCGAAGTTCTTGAATTTTACATCAGCCAACTGTTCAACGTGGAAACGACGAAAACAAAATTTTAAAAACTATACCAATCGCACGAAAAGTCCGTTCCTAGTTTCCATTTCGAAATTGGAACGCTCGAGTGAACGGCGAGAAATAGTTCGAACGATTTAAATTTTAGTGTTCCATATTCGAATATATATTTCCACCGTCACGTCAGTCAGTATTACCACGGCCGCCGACGTTATCGCCGGCCGGTCGCCGTAGAGTCACTGCCGTGCCGTTGCGACTACGGCGCTTGTTTGCTGCCCACAGCGGATTCTCGAGTGCTCTTTATTAGCCAATTAATCTCTTTTTATATTGGAAATTCATCTTTTAACATTATCCTTTAATTTTGTATAATTCCTTCAAAGTTTACCTATTAATTATATCTGGTTCAATCACTCCGCTTGATTTATTTGGTCGTTTAGAGAGGTATTTTAATAATTACTGGTCAACGATAATTTGAACTTTAGATGGACGTCAATGATTATTTAAAAGAAAAGTATTTTTAAATTTAGAATAACTTCAAAAACATTGTGTCAATTTTAATTAAACTTCCCAATAATTCTCGGATGGCGGGAGAAGGGAAATATTTTTTTTTAATGAATGATAATGTAGTGGTAACCCCGCCTGCGCTATCGGTATACACAGGCGGGGCACCAGTGAGGGATGATAGGTGAAGATGAAGCAGGTCTGTTAGCTCATCGTGACAAATTCACTAATGAATCAAACACGATGGTTTCCAGGGAAAACCGCGAGGAGGTCGATCTGATAGAGTATATTGCTAATAGGGTTGCTAATCCGTAGTACTAACAATCCCTTTTCCCCTGGAAGAAAAATATTAATAACGGATTAGCAGATCACTAGATTCACCAGAGGGAGACTTTGTACAAAAGTCGATTGCTTGGGTACCTCTGTCCCATTCGTGTTTCAACCGTGAAGCAGTTGTGTTTGCATGGCTGCGTTTCGGTTTGAAGGGTGGGATATGGCGTGAATTTACTGGGTACAGAGGAATAACACCTGAGTCCTCAGGAATGGCAACGCATGGGGGGTATCATGGGCGAAACAGTATACTCTGTTATGTCCATGGTACTGCTCATGTCTATAGGCGACGGTTACCACTTTCCATCAGGTGGGCCGTCAGCTTGTTTGCCATTCTAAGTTCTATAAAAAAAAAAAAAAAAAGATCGACTTCCACTTTTTTTTATACAACTTAGAATGGCAATCAAGCGGACGACGCACCTGATGGAAAGTGGTAACCGTACATGAGCAGTACCATGGACATAACAGAGTATACTGTTTCGCCCATAATACCCCCCATGCGGTGCCATTCCTGAGGACTTAGATGTTATTCCTCTGTACCCAGTAAATTCACGCCATATCTCACCCTTTAAACCGAAACACAGCCATGCAAGGCAAACACAACTGCTTTACGGTTGAAACACGAATGGGACAGAGGTACCCAAGCAATTGACTTTTGTACAAAATCTCCCTCTGGTAGTACCCCCTAGAAGCAATCGTGGTTAATTCTTGTCGAATTCGTCACGGTATGCCAACTGATCTGCACTCATCCTCACATATATTATCTCTCACTGGTGCCCAATCTACATATATGCTAGACAGCCGAGGTTACCATTGCATTTTGACCTATTGAAACCCCCTATTAAGAAATTACAGTGGTGAGCATATTTCTTGTAATAATGTAAAAAATAGTAAGCCTTTTAAAACCATTCTGGTAATTACAAAAGCAAATGATGAACAAACTGTGCGTTGGCGAAAACGTATAATTCTCCTCGCGTCAGCCAATTTGTTTTTTAATGGAAAGGGTACGGTGGGATTTTTATACAAATACTATCTATTTAATTTATTGTACCAATCCAATTTCTACCAAAAAGACAGCGTCGCTAACATTGATATAAAAAAAAATTTAAATAGACAATCAAATACCAAAATGTTGGTAGGGAAAATAGTTCGTTCTTAATCAAATTTTGTACTCGTTTTTAAACTGTAATGGTATAGCGGTTCAGCAGTTTAATTCAATAACAATAACAATAATTTTTATTTTGGAATATTTTTTAATTCGTTAATATTTATTAGTAACGATATGCTTAAAACTAATGTTACTAAATATACACACACACACACACACACACACACACACACGCATGTACGCACGCACGCACGCACGCACGCATGCAAGTAGGCGCGCACGCACGCACGTACGCACGCACGTACGTACAACGGTCGAGGAATGGGCAGCAGCGTCCCACTTAATACATCACCAAAGCCTAACTGCGGTTGCTAACCCGTCTGTCAAGCGCGACAACTATTGGCAAAACCCCCTCCTCAGGATCTCCTCCTTAGGAGGAACAATTAACGGCTGGTATGATGATGAAAAAACTTTAGAAAACATTCGATTATTACATCGATCCAGCCAGGAATCGAAGCCAGCGACGTCAAAACGAACTCCACAGCACTGTACTGCGAAGTTTATAATTTTATTTTCTTCCATTTTATACAATAAATCCAGTATATACTTCGTATGACACGCTAAGCCGCTAAGTCCGACTGTTGGCAGTCTATTTAGATGACACTTCGAAAACAGCACCGCTTCAGTTGGATCTGTCTAAAATGGCCACTGTGTAGCATTAGAATTGAATCATCTCAGCCGTTACCTGTCCAATGTTGAACATAGGCCTCCCCCATAAGGAACGGTCCTAAGCCACCTGCATCCTCTGACTTCCTGCAATGCATATCACTCCATCAAGTGGAAGGTCTTCCTACACTGCGATTGCCCGTATGCGGTCGCCACTCAAGAACCTTTCTTCCCCATCGGTTGTTAGTTTTTCAAGCTATGTGACCAAGCTATTGCCATTTCAGCTTGCTTATCCTTCGGGCTATGTCGGTCACTTTGGTTCTTTTGCGGATATCCTCGTTTCGGATACTATTACGCAAAAAGACTCCGAGCATGGAATATCGTGTAGCCATGTTTCGGTTCCATAGAATTAGCTTCCATAAAAATTTTATAAGAAATAAATATGGTAGGTAAACATTAACGGCTGATATATATCAGCCATTAACTGTTCATTGCTTACCATAAGCCTCCCCCATAAAAGGGTATTTTGCCACGATTGGCAGGTGGATTGGTTACCGCAGTTAGGCTTCGGTGATGCTAGCGATTCTTCAACCATTAAGTTCTCTTAGTCGCTTACGACACCCATGGAAAGAAAGGGGTAGCCCATTCCATCCCTGAACTACACGGCATGATATGTGTTTAAGCCATTATTCATCCACTGCCGGACGTAAGCCTCCCCCATAGATTGCCATAAAGATCAGTCCCGAGCCACCCGCATCCCCGCCAGAAAAAGCGGAGCCGCCAGGGACTGGAGAGCGTTTCTTTAGTGTTACCATTGGGGATTTTGCCGGTAGTTGCCACGTTTGGCAGGCAGGTTGACAACCGCAGTTAGGTCTTTTGAGATATTTTAAGAAGGACGCTGCTGTCCATCCCTAGACCATATGTTCCTTTAGTCGTCTCTTACGACACCCACGGGAAAGGAAGGGGTGGCCCATTCTATGCCGAGAAGGACACGGCAATGATATGTATGTATGTATGTATGTAATAAGCAGTGGATCGCACTTGTTGGAAAGCATTAGGGAAGGCCTACATGTAACAGTGATGTAGACATAAGCTGAACTGGTGATGATGAAGAAACAATATCAACGAAATAATTTAATGTCAATTAAATATATTACAAATGTGAATTACATAAAGTGGCTATTTTAGCCCGTTTATTGTATATCTACCCACGGATTCCAATGAAAATCCCTTTATATAAAATAAACATCAACTCTGCTCCACCTCAAATTACATAACGGGTTATATATGTACGTTATGTAACGAGGAATTCTCTCGAAGTTGATACTGATAGAGTCTCGTTTGACTCGCCTGTATCTCATCTCAAGGTATTCACTACGACAGCTTTATTTTTTAAATATTTTTATTGTAATCGAAATCTGTCTTTTTACCTCGTTGTCACTTTTTTATACAACTTAGAATGACAAACAAGCTGACGGCCCACCTGATGGAAAGTGGTGACCGTCGCCTATAGACATGAGCAGTACCATGGACATAACAGGGTATACTGTTTCGCCCACGATACCCCCTATGCGTTGCTATTCCTGAGGACTCGGGTGTTATTCCTCTGTACCCTGTAAATTCACTGTCATATCCCACCCTTCAAACCGAAACACAGCCATGCAAACGCGACTGCTTCACGGTAGAAACACGAATGCGACAGAAGTGCCCAAGCAAACGACTTTTGTACAAAGTCTCCCTCTGGTAAAAAATTTTTCGTTTATTTTTCTTTATATTCATATACACATTTTATCATGGGGAGGGAAAAAAGAGAAAGAAATATATATATATAGTTTTTTTATCTTTAACTTATCTTCATATTTTGAACCAGTTCCATAAAAGACGTTCTAAATTCGTTTGTAATTTTTTTTTATATTTGTTACCTTCTAACTCCGTCAGTTAAAAACCGATTTGAGATCTTTTTTTTTTATCTACAACGATATACTTTCAGATTGGTTCCAAAAAAATGTTATCAAAGTCGGTTTAGTAGTTTAATTTTTAAATAAAAATAAATAATTTTGCAATGACTGTAATCTTTTTTTTTTCGTAAAACAATCTTAACGTTATATGGTGGGTTTTATAGGAGACAAATCTAATAAGGACTCACCGTCTTGTCGTGGGCTATTATCTGATGTCCTGTGCGGGCGCCTTGATTCCCTCCGTCACTTTATCACCAATGTACACACACAAAATATTGTCTACAAACACAGCACTTCGGGGGGAAAAGGAATGGTAGTAATGGAAACTGAGAATCCCATTGCTAGCAATATACCGAACCAGGTCGACCTCCTCGCGGTTCCCCCTGGAAACTATCATGGTTAATTCCTGATGAATTCATCATGATGAGCTAACTGGCCTGTTTTCATTCTCATCTATCACCCTTCACTGGTGCTCCGCCAGCGTATCCCGTTAGCGCAGGCGGGGTTACCATACCATTTTCACCCAGCAAAAAAAAAAACACAGCACTTCAAATTATTAAAGCGGTAACCACATTTACAGCGCAACAATGTTTTAATATTTCTTTATACGTAGTTGCTCGTCGATTGCGGAGGTCACATTGACGGTTAAGATTGAAG